CACGCACACGCACGCACACGCACGCACACGCACGCACACGCACGCACACGCACGCACACGCATGCACACGCACGCACACGCACGCACACACGCACGCACGCACGCACGCACGCACGTGCGCACGCACACGCACACGCACACGCACACGCACACGCACACGCACACGCACAGACGCACACACACACACACACTCACACACACACACACACGCACACACACACACACACACACAGTCACACACACACACACTGTTTGTTGCGACAGCGGCTGGGCAGAGGGTGACTGCTCCGGCGGAAAGGCACCAGGGGACACGCTGTATGCAAACCGAAGCCGCCATGCACGGAGGAGGAGGAGGAGGAGGAGGAGGAGCCCCGGCGCGACAGGAAGAGAGGAAGCCGGGCCCTCTCAGGCAAGTCGACGGCTAGGGCAGGGGAGCGCCGGGGGAGTGAACCACAAAAACACACACACACAACGGCCGGGGGCGGGGCGCGGCGGGGGCTCCAGGCGCCCGGGCTGCGCCACGAGGCCTCTCCGCTGCAGGCACTCCTGCGCCGCGCGCCGTGCACGGTGGTGCTGGGTGTCGTCTTTTGGAGCGTGCCTGGCGCTTCTCTAGAACGTAGTTCGAAGATGTTTTGGGAGTGCCTTGAATACATGTTGAAGCAAATCAGATGTTCGATCTCTCCGTGGGCTTTCCGGGCGCGTTCTGGGAGAAGGTTCAAGGCATGTGATATCTTCATGCGCGCCGTCCACGCGCGGTGCAGACTTACAGTCGACGCGTATGGTCAGGGCGCGCGATCAGGATGCAACGGCCTTGGAGGGCCATGTCGGCACTTTCCGAGCGGGGCGCGGCCAGCGAAAGTGGTCAAGGATAGGCTCAAGGCGAAGGATGCCAGGGGAACCTTGGAAAATCGCTCGTCCTTACTATCCGTGAAGACTCACACTGGCGAAGGACCCAACCATGCGCGGATGCGAGTACCGCATGACAGGAACCGGAATCGGAATCGAGCTCTGGGGGCACTAGGTTCGTCTGTTCGTGTGAGATGCCTGGGCAACTCCTGGCTGAATTCGCCAGTTTGTAACATTCAGATTGAAACCTGTCTTCGCCCTGAGGCTGTCAAGGAATTTCTGGGGGGCCAGTTATGCAGGCAAGAGCACTGCACAGGCGGTCTGAGGCACACTCGTTTGCCGAATGAGCTGAGGGGCCTCCCCGCACCATCACAACCACGAGACACTCTTGAGGCTGAAGGGCGGGGCGAGCCACCCCGCCAAGCGTGTGAAAGGTGTGCCGACATGGGTGCGAGGCCGCCCTGCGAACCCTGCCGCTGGGGCCTTCGTTGGAGCTCCCGATGGGGCCACGAAGCGTTTTGGAGGTGTCGAAATAAGGCGGGGCCGCCATGCGAACCCTGCCGCTTGGGCCTTCGATGGAGCTCCCATTGGGACCACGAGGCGTTTCGAGGTGTGTCGAAATGAGGCGGGGCGGCAATGCGAACCCTGCCGCTGGGGCCTTCGGTGGATCTCCCGTGGGAGCCACGAACCGTGCGAAGGGTGTGCCAAAATGGGCGCGGGAACACCATGCGAACCCTGCCCCTGGGGTCTTCGGTGGAGCATCCTATGGGGCAATGAAACGTATGAGAAGTGCGCCGAAATGGAGGCAGTTTGCCACTGTGGCTTTCGGTTGAGCTCCCTTTGGGGCCACGACGACGGGGACACACGGAGAGCAAAGGCACGGAGAGGAACAAGGGAGAAGAGGGAGTAGGACGGAGTGAGTGGGACGCGGGGCGCTGCGGATTCGAAATGAAGACCCAACGCCACAGGATGGTTGAGAGAGGGAGGGGCGTGATGGGAGGAAACGCGGGACGTTGCGGATCCAAAACGAATACCAAACACCACAGGATGGTCGGCACCTCCGACAGCGCGTTTGACAGGCGCTTGCCTTGGGAACATTCGGCGGCGCGTTTCAGGCCGGGGGGTGGCCCCCCCCCCCCACACTCGGCGCCGTCGATCAAAACCAGGGGGGCTCCCCTCCCCCCAAACCTCCCTCCTCCAGACCCCCCCCCCATCCCAAAGCGGGGGGGGCGTTGAAACCCACCCCCCTCTCGGCGCCAGCGCCGGCGCTGGCGGCCGCCAGCAGCGCCGACGGCGGGGACGCAGCGACGATGACCAGAGGTAGCCTAAGTAAGAGGGTGGGGGTGAGGGTTCAAGACCCCCCACCCCCCTGGCGCCGGCGCCGGCGCCGGCGCTGGCGGCGGCCAGCAGCGCCGGCGCTGGCGCCGGCGACGGCGGGGAAGCAGCGACGCTTACCACCACTACCACCAACACCGCCACTACCACCACCACCACCGCCTCAACCCACCACCACCGCCACCACCAACCCACCACGCAACCACCACCACCACGGCCACCACCACCACAACCACCGCCACCACAACTCACCATCACCATCACCGCAACAACAACCCACCACCACTACCACCACCACCACCACCACCAACCACCACCA